CTTCCCCGCTTTGGTTTTGTCCATGGGTCCTTTATACACATTCCTTGATGATCCTTTCCCTTCTACCTCTTATTATGTCTCTCTACCCTCCCCTCTGGTTACTGTCAGATTGTCCTTTATTTCAAAGTCTCTGGTTATATTTTGTTTGCTTGTTTGTTTTGTTGATTAGGTTTTACTGATAGGTGAGATCATACAGTAATTGTATTCCATCACCTGGCTTACTTCAGTTAGCATAATGCTCTCCAGTGCCATCCATGCTGTCACGAAGGGTAGGAGCTCCTTCTTTCTTTCTGCTGCATAGTATTCCATTGCGTAAATATACCACACTTTTTGATTCACTCATTTAATGATGGGTACCTAGGTTGCTCCCAGCACTTAGCTATTGTAAATTGTGCTGCTATGAACATTGGGGTGCACAGCTTCTTTAGAATTGGTGTTTCAGGGTTCTTAGGGTTTAATCCCAGCAGTGGAATTGCTGGATCAAAAGACAGTTCCATTTTTTAATTTTTTGAAAAGATTCCATACTGTTTTCCACAAAAAAATGGTATGGAAACAGTAGGGTGCCCTTTTCTTCACAACCTCACCAGCACTTATTGTTTGTTGATTTGTTTATGATGGCCTTTCTGACAAGTGTGAAGTGACATCTCATTGTGGTTTTAATTTGCATCTTTCTGATGGGTAGTGATGCTGAGTACCTTTAATAAGTGTCTGAACCCTTTGTATGTCCTCCTTGGAGAAGTGTCTGTTCAGGTCCTTCGCCCACTTTTTAACTGGACTGTTTGTCTTCCCGGAGTGAAGTCATGTGAGTTTTTTATATATTTTGGAGATCAAACCCTTGTCCTAGGTATCATTGGCAATTGTTTTCCCATATGGTTGGTTCCCTTTACATTTTGATGTTTTCTCTAGCCTTGCAGAAGCTTTTTATTTTGATGAACTACCATTTGTTTATCCTTTCCTTTATGTATCTTACTCTAGGGGACATATCAGTGAAAATATTGTTGCGTGGAACATCTGAGATTTTCCTGCCTATATTTTCCTCTAGGACTTTTATGATGTCACAACTTATATTTAAGCCTTTTATCCACCTTGAATTTATTTTGGTGTATGGTGTAAGTTGTTGGTTGAGTTTCATTTTTTTGCATGTGTATGTCCAGATTTCCCAACATCATTTGTTGTTGAGGCTATTTTTACTCCATTTTATGCTTCTGCCCCCTTTGTCAAATATTAATTGACCCTTGAGACTTGGGTTTATTTCTGGGCTTTCTATCCTGTTTCATTGATCCATGTGTCTATTCTTATGCCAATACCAGACTGTTTTGATTACCATGGTCTTGTAATACAGTTTGATGTTAGGTAGGGTGATCCCTCCTACTTTGTTGTTCTTTCTCAAAATTGCTGTGGTTCCATGTAAATTTTTGAAATGTTTGTTCTATACCTGTGAAATATGCCATTGGTATTTTAATAGGGATTGCACTGAATCTATAAATTGGTCTGGGTAGTATGAACATTTTGATGGTGTTAATTCTTTCAATCCATTAACACAATATATGCTTCCATTTGTGTCTTCCTTAATTTTTTTCTTCAGTGTTGTGCAGTTTTCTGTGTACAGGTCTTTTACTTCCTTGGTTAGGTTTATTCCTAGGTACTTTATTTTTTCTTGTTGCTACAGCAAATGGGATTTTTATTCCTAATTTCTGTTTCTGATATTTCATTGTTGGTGTACAAAGATGCCTTCAATTTCCGAATACTGACTTTGTATCCCACTGCTTTGCCAAATTCACTAATTAGGTTGAGTAGTTTTTTGGTGGAATCTATAGGATTTTCTACGTACACTATCATGTCATCTGCAAACAATGAAAGTTTTGCTTCCTCCTTTCCAATTTGGATGCATTTTATTTCTTCTTCTTGTCTGATCACTAGGACTGATCTTGGCTAGGACTTCCAATACTATATTGAATATAAGTGGTGAGAGGGGACATCTTTGTCTTATTCCTGATGTTACTGGGAAAGATTTTAGTTTTTGCCCATTGAGTATGATGTTGGCTGTAGGTCTCTCATATATGGCCTTTAGTATGTTGAGGAATGCTCCCTCTATTCCCCCTTTGCTGAATGTTTTTATCACAAATGGGTGCTGTACCTTATCAAATGCTTTTTTCGTATCTATTGATATGATCATGTGATTTTTGTCTTTCCTTTTGTTTATGTGGTGTATTATGTTCACTGATTTGTGAATATCGTACCATCCTTGCATCCCTGGGAGAAATATCACTTGATTATGTTGTATGATCTTTTTGATGTATTGCTGGATGTGGTTTGCCAATATTTTGTTGAGGATGTTAGTGTCTATGTTCATCAGTGATATTGACCTGTAGTTTTCTTTCTTTGTTGTGTCTTTGTCTGGTTTGGGGATTAGGATGATGCTGACCTCTAAGAAAGAGTTTGGGAGTCCTCCCTCTTCTTGGATTTCTTGGAATAGACTGTGAAGGATAGGGGTTATCTCCTCCTTAAATATTTTATAAAATTCTCCTATGAAACCATCCAGTCCAAGGCTTTTGTGTGATGGGAGTTTTTTTCTTACTGCTTCAATTTCACCAGCTATTGGTAACAGAGCTTTAGAGTCTTTTATATACTTCATTCAATATTTTCTCAATTTAAATTAATTCACAGTAGGTCCTGTTAAATCCTTTGTGAAATCTTGATGCAGTAAATGCCAAATTTCTTTGATAAACATTTTGAATATCTTATTTTATCAGAAGGCATAGGACTTACATGTTGCTGATGACTGTTTAGCTGTTAGCTCACCAAATACCACTGCCACTGGGGAATCAGTGCCTAATCAAAAAATTATTAATTATTGACCTCCTCAAGATGATATTTCAATGCTCTCCCTAAAAGGTTGAATTGATCAAAATAAAAATCTACTTCATAAGGCAGATGCACAGAACCCACCAAGAATTAGTTACTTTATGGTGCGAGGCCCTGAGACAGCTCTTTCCATGTCCAACATGAGTACCACCTATTTTTACTAAGTGTACTACCTCAATGATAAAAGTCATGAGCTTTTTAGGTTACCAGCATAGTTATTTTTTTAAAGATTTTATTTATTTTTTGAGAGAGAGACAGGGAGAGAAAAAGAGAAGGAGAGAAACATCAATGTGTGGTTGCCTCTCACATGCCCCTAACTGGGGAACTGGCCCACAACCCAGGCATGTGTCATGGCCGAGAATCGAAGTAGTGACCTTTCAGTTCACAGGCTGGCACTCAACCCACTGTGCCACGCCAGCCAGGGTACCAGCAGAGAGTTATAATCACAGATGAAAAGCAGGAAAGTATAACCTAAATTAAACAATCTTAACTAGGAAAAGAGGGAGCCCTAGAATATCCATGGATGAGCTGTGGGGGCTCAATAAATCCCTCTGTATAATATGCAAATTTGTACTTTTTTCTGAGCACAAGTGTCCAATGCATTTATCAATATACCAAAGTTGCCCTTAAACAAAACAAAAAGAGAAAAAAACAACCAAAAGAGAAAAGTCTAAAGATACAATATGGTGTAGAAGGAAAAAAACTAGTATTTAAAAATAAAGAGCTGCCCTGGCTGGCGTAGCTTAGTGGATTGAGCACGGGCTGCGAACCAAAGTGTCGCAGGTTCGATTCCCAGTCAGGGTACATGCCTGGGTTGCAGGCCATGACCCCCAGCAACCGCACATTGATGTTTCTCTCTCTCTCTCTCTTTCTCCTTCCCTTCCCTCTCTAAAAATAAATAAATAAAATCTTTAAAAAAAAAAAAGAGCCAAGTTTGCCCCTTGATTCTACCACCCATTAGCTGTTTGTCATACTTTGTGTAAGTTGCTTCATTTCTCTGAATGTTAGTTTACTAGTCTATAAAAAGAAAAACTATGATCTTCATACCAACTATGAGGAATAAATATAATGTATGTGAAGTACTTAACATAGGACCCAACAACTATTATATTATCAATTGGTATTTGCTTTAAAAACACAGAAATGTCTTAACTAAAAACAAAACATTTAAAATCAAGTACTAGATAAATTTATTTTTAGTTTTATAAAGATACAGATACACTTTGTTTATTTTCTATTGCTGCTATTACAAATGAGCACAAATTTAGTGGCTTAAAACAACACAAAGGTCAAAATGGATATTACGGGACTAAAATCAAGTTGTCAGCAAGGGTGTATTCCTCTGGAAGATCTAGGAGAAAATACGGTTCTTGCTTTTTTCATTTTCTAGAAGCTTCTGTCATTCCCAGCTCATACCCACATCACTTCAACCTCTGCTTCCATCATTGCACCCCCTTCTGTACTCTGGCCCTCCTGCCTCCTCCCTTTACTTTAATATGAACCCCTGTGACTACACTGGGCTCACCAAATAATCCAGAATACTCTCCCCATTCAAAACCCTGACCTAACCATGGAAAGTGCCTTTTACATGCAAGGTGACATAGTCACAGGTTCTGAAGTTTAGGACATGACATCATTGGGGACTAGGTGTGGGGGGTTATTACTCTGCCTACCATAGACCCCCTGACATAATTCATCATTATATAAATTCTAGTGCTAAAATAAATGGTTATATTTACATTTTCAAACATCAAACACTTGAATAACTTCTTCTTCTTACTTTAAAATAAATCACCTTTCTAGAAAAGCCATAAGCAATTATTTTTATTTGCACCATTTAATCTCAAATCATCTGTGACTAGTGCATGTTATGCTTTCTTTTATAAATGTCAACAATTCACTTTTTAAAATTATTGCTATTTATAACCAACAGAATGCCTGTCATTTTATTTGCCTTCATTTTCATTTTTTTAAGTCATATTATTTAGACATAAATGTTCCATTTATTTGAAATTCAGTTTGAGGACACAGAAGACGTATATTTTAAAGAGAAGAACATATGGAATATCCCCATGAGATTTGGCTTTATTATTATATCTACTTATATATGGGCACCACATGTAGGCCAAACTTACCAGTGGTTCTTTATTTTTGACCAGGCGTATGATTTTTACTGAATCTTCCTCGTCATCAATATCATCAGGCATAGGAGGCAATACTGGATCATAATTCTTCTGAGCCACAGTATCGTGTACAGAGAGTAAAGCCTAGCAAAGTCCAAGGTGAATTAAAAGTTAATCAAATATAAAAACTCCAAACCCATAAAACTATAAAGAAAAAGAAATTGGTGTTATAATTTTGACATAACAATGGTAATAAGGCAACTACTTGAAAAGGAGCCTCTCACCAACAGGAGCCATGTAAAAGAGCAGATGGCATGTCCCTTTTAGATACCACACTGTCCCCAATGACATGAGGTATGACAAGAATCAGCATAAAATATTTCCTAGTCTGCACACTCTCTGGTTCACCACTACAAGGATGGCAGTTGGGGGCAGGCATGGGGAGATGTTACTTTTGAAAGAAGGGAGAAAATGAGACTATAGATACATTGTTAATGAAACAACAGGAGTATGAGAAAACTATATGATTGTTCTTTCCTACTATTATCAGAAAACACAAAAAGAACTGATCAATACGATTGATTAGCTTTCATTCTTTTGTTTTCTCTTTAATTTTTAAGGTAATACATGACTAGTGTGTGTATAAAAGAATAAAATGTTAAGTATTTCTAGTCTTGACTATTATGGTGATAAGATGCCACAATACACTGTCATATTGCCCTTATAGACCAAAGATGAGAAAAATACTGGAACCCTGACAGGTCACTGCTCAGTGTTTTAGGTGAGTGGGTCTAGACTTTTAACTAATGTGTTCCCTAATCAGCAATGTCATGATCCTGAATTTCTCCACCCAGAAGCCTAGAAATCAACCTTGAAACCACTTCTCTCATCTACACCCCCAACATCCAACCCATACCCTGTTAAATCTACTTCCAAAATGTATGCTAACATTTGTTATCTTCTCTCTAGACCAAAGGTTGGCAAACTATGCCACCTGCTTCTGTAAATGAAACTTGTTGGAACACAGCCACACTCATTTGTTTATGTGTCCTCGACAGCCACTGTCATGCTCCCACAGCACGAATGAGTAGAAACAACAGGTACTTTTTACATAAAAATTCAGCAGACTCCTGGACTTGATCACTGATCACTTTTTTACCTGGAGCATTGCGATAGCCTCTGAATAGTCTAACTTCATTCACCTTTGGCTCATTTTCAAATCCATGATTCACAGTGTAGTCAAAGCAATTATTTTAACATTTTATTTATTTTTCGAGAGACTGGGAAGGGAGGGAGAAAGAGAGGTAGAGAAACATCCATGTGTGAAAGATACATCGACCAGGTGGCTGGGACCCAGCCTACACTGTGGGCATGTGCCCTGCTCGGGAATTGAACCAGCTATGTTTTAGTTCTCATATTGGCACTCAATACACTAAGCCACACCAGTCAAGGTTAAGTAATTATTTTAAAACAGATCAAATTACATACGAGCCTGCTAATAACTCTTCTAAAGCCACCCACTGATCTTGGGGTGAATACCAAACTGGAGCATGTCCTAGTCTTACATTCCTCCCCAACCTGACCTTATCCCCTTCTCACACGGTTTAAATAACTCTTTCTCAGAGAGTCCTGGCCAAAACATCCAATTAAAAGCATATCCCCCTCAGGAACTTGATTTTATAGCACCTTCTTTGCCTTCATACATGCTTATAATTCATAACCGTATATGCATATGTTTAATATTTGCTAGCTACTGAAATAGAAGTGCTAAGATGGCAAAGACATGGTATCTATTTTTTAATTAAGCTTTTTTATATACACAGTAAAATACACAATTTATAAGCATACACCAGAAATTTTCAATAATGAATATTCCCATGTAAACATCCCCCCAAACAGGAAATACAGCATAACTGAACCCCAGGAGCCCCCACTTATGCTCCTTCCTAATTATCCTGACCTTTGTTCCCCTGAAGGTGGTAGTTCTGCCGCTATTTAAATACTGCATACATATTTACAGAATTATAAGTGCATATTCATTTTATGCACTTATGTTGCATAAAATGCAACATCCACACTGCTACTGGTAGCAGCAGTCACTCACTTTTCATTGCTATAGAGCATTACAACATATGAATACCTCCCTAGTGCCCTCATCCTTTATGCTCATTGTGGACAGGCATTTAGATGGTTTTCAGTCCCTGACTATAATAAATAATGCTGTTAATATTTCATGTCTTTTGATACACACACACACACTGGTATGTATAATTTGGTTAAGTATATTAAAAAGTGAAATCTCTAGACCATCAGTTATAAGTATAGTCAACATTAGTAAATAAAAAGTTTTTCCAATTATAACCCCACAAACAGCTTATGCAAGTTCTAGATGCATCATATAATTCCCATAATTTATATTATTAGTTTGAATTTGGCCATTTTGAATGTGCAGAGGTATCTTCCTGTGGTTAAAATTTCATTTTTCTTACAGCTAATGATAATGAAAACCTTTCCTTATGTTTATGGGGTATGTGAATATCTTCTTTTGTGAGATGCTGATTCACAATGCTTACACATTTTTATTCCATATTCTTCTTCTTAATTGTAAGAATTCTTTATAATATACTAGATGCAAGCCTTTGTTGGGTACATGTGATACAAATATATTTTCCCATTTGGTAGCTGGCACTTTCTTATTAGTGTTTTTTGATGAACACTAATAAGAATGCTAATTTTAGTGAGTCTAATTAATATTTTTTCCTTTATGGTTGGAGCTTTTTGTATCCAATCAGAGTTTCAAAGGGGAAGAATTAACAGCATAAGATAGTGAAATATCCAGAGATAATGACTGCAGATATTTGAAGACTGATGAGAGACAGAGTCTGAATATTCAGGAAGCCCAATAAATCCTTTAGGAAGCAGGAAGAATAAAAAGAAACCAATGCTGAGATACAACATAGTGAAACAGCATAATGCCGAAGACAAAGAGAAGATCTTCAAAACACCGGAGAGAGAAAAAAATCATCGGAAAGGAAAAAAATTTGATTGAGAGCTGATTGATCAGCAGCAGCCATGGAAACTAGAAGATTGTGCTTAGAAAAAAAATAACAGCCAGCCCAGAATTACATCTAAGTAAATTATCACTTGAGAATAAGGATGTAGGCCAAGACAAAGTTAACAGTGACTGACTCGAGAAAACTTTCAATAAAAAAGGATAATGTAACAATGGCTTTCGAAGACAATGGCTATCTGATGAAGGGCAGTGATCACTGAGAGACAGGAAACAAACACGAGCCCTAGGAAGGCCCCAGGTTGCCGCCTGGAGAGTTTCCCGGACATGCTGGGAGGAGAAGAAATCCAGGTAGAACTCAGTGGTCTCCCTAAGTTCAGAAAACAGAGCTGGGAATCCAGAGAGGTTAAGGGCTAAAGTTCTCAGGGAAGAGGATGGGAGAGGAGAGAACTGCATGAGACAGAGCTCTGAAGATCTGCGGGAGGTTCGGCCCAAATCCTTAGCCAGTTACTTAGCCAAGGCTTGCGTAAGATAAAACTACCAAAAGGATTAAAGCTGTGGTTCTTAAGTGAGGGCATTTTTACTCCCCTGGGGCCATTGGGCAGTATTTAGAGATACAGTCACATCTCAGTAAGCGTGGGCTTCAGAACTCGTCAAACCCTGTACTCATAGCATTTTGACGAAAAAAAAAAAAAATGTTTCAGCCCTTGTTGCTTGCTCAGCACTCATAAGTTTCAGCATTCCTCATGAGTTCCAGAACAAATTAACAAGTACTGAAATACCACTGTATTTTTGATTTGTCACAATTTGGGGGATGCTACTGACATCTAGTGCATAGAGGCCAGGGACACATCTAAACATCTAACAGCACATAGGTTAGTCCCTTCTCCCAACAAATTATTATCCAACAGCAAAATAGGTGTCCCCCGATATCCCAAAGTAGGGCATTGCTATGAAAATTTTATAAGCCTAATCAGCATGAAAAAAACGATTACCATTAATTTTTATAAAAAACTGTTGAGTGTTCCCAGACCCCCAAAATAACTATCCAAAATGAAACACAAAGATAACATATAGTGAAAAAATTATGAAAAGATTATTATTGCCCTATAGGACAATTTCAGTGGCCTAACATATACCCAAAATTGACATCTCCAAAGAAAGGAGGGATGCTAAAAAATATCTGAAGAAATATTGTAGGAAATTATCTTGCAGAAAATATTGCAAACTTGACAAAAAAAAAAAAAGCCACATGTTCAATGCAGAGAACCGTTTCGCATAGCATGGAAATGTAGCTCAGCACTCACGTGGAAAACCAATGGGGAGCGAATCAGCACAAAGGACCATGCCCATGGAGAGGTTTTCCCATGGGGAATCAGACCTGCATTGTACCTAGACTGCTATGAGACTTGCTTTTGCTAAAAATCCCTCACCCTGAACTGAGGCAGCAAGTATTTACTGTAACTTCCTAAAAGTCTGTGCTAAACCTCTTAGCAGCATTCTTTCCTTTGTTATCTGTAAAAAGGCAGTCCTCTGTAAAAATGTAACCTGTGCATAGTAAATGAGGACTACCCTCCATGTAATGTACCCAGAAAAACAAAAGCCTGTCCAGGCAGGGGCCTCAGGCCTCTCCCCCACTCTCTCTCAGAGAGTAGCCATGCCATCCCTTTTTCTCCACAGGACTTCTCCAGTCCGTGTGTATTTGTTCACTAGCAGCCACAACATATGTGGATCCAGCAGGCCAGGATCCGCATCAGTTTGAGAAGCTCAATGCATCTAACCACAAGAAACATAAAAGAAGTAATACCAAACTGCTTAAAAACAAGTGATAAAGAGAAAAATTTAAAGTCACCCAAAGGAAAAAAGCACATTATACATAAAAGAAAACAAGATTAAAATGACAACATTTCTGCCCTGGCTGGCGTAGCTCAGTGGATTGAGTGCGGGCTGCGAACCAAAGCATCGCAGGTTCAATTCCCAGTCAGGGCACATGCCTGGGTTGCAGGCCACAGCCCCCAGCAACCGCACATTGATGTTTCTGTTTCTCTCTCTCTCTCTCTCTCTCTCTCTCTCTCTCTCTCTCTCTCTCTCTCTCCTCCCTCCCTTCCCTCTCTCAAAATAAATAAATAAAATA